TAATTGCTCCTAGGAATAAACAATATGGAAAGAAGAAATATTAATATCAGAGGAACATTTTAGAGAAAGGAACATTTTTGTAGTCATAATGTTAACACAATGGGAACTTATTCTATGACTGTGGTCTAGGAGACAATGTGTGTTATATATGTGACACAATTTTTCAAGCTGGGGACCAAATAACAGATAATGAAACAAAATATATTATGGATATATATAAACAATGCAAACAATAATGGAGTGAATATTGCTGTAAATCTAAATTTATTCTAAAAATAATTTATTAAATAAGAATAACAGTAATATAAAATACAGGGTATGTTGGAAGGGTCAACTCAATCAGAATCTGGCAAGGGGCAAGGGGCATGGAGTCCCACTGTTCCAGAACTTACCAAAGCCACATTTCCTAAATTTTATCATTAATGATCATTTTGGTTCCCTATTTCCTTTGAATGCTTTAAATCTTTCCCTTTGCTGATAAATGGGACCAAACTATTTTGATGTTCTTCTAATATACTGAAAGATATGAGAACATGTCCAAGTCATATTCTTGGGACCAAGGAAAAATAATGAATTCCAGAAATTTCAGAGCTTTGAAGTAAGAGTTGGAAATTCTACTATATCAAGATTTTATATTGGAGACAAAAAGCCCCCAAAACATAGAAAGGTACTTCTAGCACCAAATTCTCCAAATTAGATAGGTAAGAAAGTCATTCATTGAGTGCACCCTTCACTTTCATACGTTTCAGCTGTTTTTGGCCAGCGCGCGCGTGTGTGTGTGTGTGTGTGTGTTTATGACTTCATGCAGATAAAACTTTCTGAGATATGTAAGTCATAACAAACTTTGATTTCTTTTTAATGATCATAGGACCCCAAAATACCATCTCACTACTGAAATAACGGTTTTTGGCACTGATGCCAAAACAAATGAAGTCAATATAGATTCTGCTGTGGTAGAGTATTTGGAGAAAATGAAAAAAAATTGAAAAAAGATTTTTCAAACTAGTAGTACTCTAGCAGAGAGCAGTCTGTGGTATCATAGTCCTTAAGTGATTAATGAACACTAAAATATCACTTCTAATAGCTATTCATTCAACAATATTTATTGACTGCTTATTCTACGCCATATATACATATATAGTAGCAATAATAAAAAATAGTGTGCTTTTTTTTTTCTATAAAGACTATAGAACAACTCTTAGAAGGACATGGTTTCCAGGTTGTCTGTTCCCAGTCTACACAATTATCCACACTATCTTATTTGGCCTGGTATATGTCTGATTATGTCCTAATTCAAGACCATCAGCTGGGATTAAGGTTAGAGTCATCAGATAAAGCACATTGTTTTTCAGGATGCAAAGTCAACTGCTTTAATTGACAGAACTCAGGATTTTCTTTGGAGTCATCTACCCAGTGCTGATAGATAAAGTTTGGGTTTGGGTTATCCTATTTGACATTGTTAGATTGGAGGAAATGCAAAACAGAATTCTAAACTCTCATCCACTTCAATAAGAACAGCTCCAAAGCACCAAGACTTTTGTCCATTTCTCCTCTCCATGAATTACTGGTTTGCCTTTAGAGGTATTATTATTCTGCATATTGTGAATTAACCCCAAGAATAAGAGAATTGATCTGGAAACAAATACCACTTCCTATGCCTTGAATCATGTCTCATGAAAGTGAAAAATGCGGTTAACAATCACAGGACAACAAGTAAATACATGGTTGTTCCCTGGGAACTTACATTGTTACTTAGGGCCTCGAGAAACTTCTGTAGGCTGGGCATGGTGGTGCACACCTGTAATCCCAGTGGCTCAGGAGGCAGAGGCTGAAAGATCTCGAGTTCAAAGCCAGCCTCAGCAATTTATCAAGGTGCTAAGCAATTCAGTGAGACCTGTCTCTAATAAAATACAAAATAGGGCTAGGGATGTGGCTCAGTGGTTGAGTGCCCCTGAGTTCAATCCCTGATACAACCCCCCCACCCCCCCGCCAAAAAAAAAATAGAAATTTGTGCAGTTTCTCAAAAGCTTCAGTTTGATGATGAATTAGTTGTAAGTGAACCTCAAGGGTCAGGTTGGCCTGAGTTAAAGTCTCATTCTGCCATTTGTTGTTGTTGTTACGGGGGATTGAACCCAGGAGTGCTTTACTACTGAACTACTTCCTCCATCCTTTTTCTTTTTCTTTTGAAATGGGGTTTCATTAAGTTGCTGAGGGTCTCACTAAGTTGCCAAGGCTGGCCTTGAACTTGTGATCCTACTACCTCAGACTCTTGAGTCACCTCAGCAACTCAGGTATGTACTACTGTGCCCAACAAAACATGAATTCTTAAAAAAACAAACAAGCATTTTTTTTCTTTGAAAACACTTATTTCATGATAATTTAAAATTTTTTTAAATTTTGAGATAACTGTAGATTCATAAGCTGTTGTAAAAAAAATAATGCAGAGATACTCTGCTCTTAGCTTAGTTTCCCCCAGTGATTAGCACCTGCAGGACTGCAGTATAATATCTGAACTAGGGTGTTGACAGTGATAGTCAAGATACAGACTGTGTCCCTTATCACAAAGATCCCTCATGTTGCCCTTTAAAAACACATGTGATTTCTTCCCTCTACCTGTCTGCTTCTTAATCCCTTCTCCCCACTCCATTCCTATGTTCTCTATTCCTAAGATGCTAAAATGTGTACTTGTAGAGGATGAAATGACAAGGAGAGTGAGAGGCTTCACACCTAATAAATTGAAGCAGAGGCAATTATTGTTATAATAAGGAAATCCATAAATGTGAAAATGCCTTCCTATGACTTCTGATTTTAAACAATTATAACACAAACATTTCTATTACTTTCTTCAATAACCATGCTATTCTCTATCTCAGAGGCAATCCAGAGAGAAGTCAGCCTGCCTGTTGTCCAGGGGTCAGGTGGCTTCCTAGGGTACATCTGGCACTGATAAATACTGACATGCTTCTGTAACCACAAAGTAGAAAATAGGAAGAAAGACAATGGAACAACTGCTGTGATATTCTTTCCTGGATGGAAATCTCAGAATACTGACCACTGTAAAACTACAACCACGAACTGATGTTTGGTTTTCACCAGTGACTCAAGGCCAAACTGTTGGGGTAAGGAAAAAATTTACTTGGAAAGGTAGCAAACCAGAGAAGATGGAGGCCATTGCTAACAAAGACCGTCTTGCTGAGGGGTTGCAGGTGTAAGGCTTATGAAGGGAGTTTTGAGCCTACCAGGTGGGAAGCAGGGTAGTTACAAATTCCAGGGTAGTCTGGAACAAATTTCAGGTGGTCTGCTTTTCTGGCGCTTGGGCTGCTATTATCTATAGGCCACCAGATGTTCTGGGTTCTATTAATCTAAAGAAAAGTTACCGATTAGAAAGTTCTGTAACTGTCTTCTTTAGTTCAGTTTTACGGGAATAGCTAAGACTGCAGTTAATCATTAGTATACAAAAGGCATTTTTCATCAGAGAACAGGGTAGGGCAGCAAAAGCTAACGATCCCCTGGAGAACAGGGGAAGATAATTGAAAGACACTGTTGCAGGTCAAGGTAGCAATGCAAATCTATTCAGAGAACAGTTTTAGCTTGTTAGGAGGCTTCAGTCAGAGCTGTCACCTACAGAGAAGCTAGTGGAAGACTGTATCCTCCCTAAAGAGAAGGGGTACAGTAAAACACCATGTCCCTGAATGCCCCCTTTCTGATCCCCCAAACCTAGACAAGTTGAGGGAAGAATGACAGCAAGTCCAGGAAGGAAAATCCAGATACATGTGATCTTGAAGGACACTGGCTTTCTTTTATGCACACCGGGAACTAGGGCAAGTTAGTGTTATTTATAGGAAGCTATTTTCTTGAATGTGTGCCAGGACAGTTGCTCCTTTGGATGCAGATGGAATAAAAGAAGTGAACAAAATTATGCTGACAATGTCACTGCTTCTGCAACCTAACATGTATAATCCCTTTCTTAGTGGAGATGGGAGCAGAACTGAGGGGACTATGGAAAGGATATACATCACTCATTCAGTCAGCCACCGCTGGACAAAATGTTATGAGGGAAAGAAGGAACTGCTTGTTGAAGCACTGTGAGAGATGGAGGTGCCATCTATTTAGCTTATTGTCACCAAGCTCTTCTTGTAATACTTTCTGATCTCTTCTAAGCATTCACATTTCCCATAATGTTTCTGGGTGCTTTCTTTGGCTTTATTGCAACCTACCCCACAGCTCTAGCACAACTGGGCTGAGACTTATAATATTTTGCTTAGCTGCATGACCTCCAAATTAGACAAAGTCTATCATTATATCGCTTAGCTGCATGACCTCCAAAATCAGTGGTTTTTTAAAATCAACTAAAAGAGAGTGGAATTAGAGTGTTTATTTAGGCTTTAACTCAGTTACAAAACTGCCTCTCTTGTAGTTTGAAAGGATCTTAATGAATAAATCGCTCATTTCCTAAGTGGAAAACTAAGGCTCTCATTGAAGTTAGGGCCAGAACCAGGACTAAAGTCAGACCCCTCTTTCACTAGCACTATATATACTTTTTATTAAGAAAAATTTAAAAAGTCACAGAAGTAGAATGATTAGAATAATGAACTTCTATATGCTCATCATTCAACTTCCATAATTATCAATGTGTGATCTCTCTTGAAAAACAAATTTTTAATTTGAGTCTGGTATCAATTATATACTTTGAGAGACCATTTACAACCAATATCTTATCATATCCAAAACCAAAAGGAAAAAAAAAAGAAAAGAATTAAAAGAGAAGGCAGAGCAAGAGAAACAAAGATTGTCAATAAATGTCTGAAACATAGAAAATTTGTTGGAGTTGTTTTTATAATAGTCTGAAAAACAGATTTATTCTGAAAGGACACTGTTCCTTTAACTTGCTTACTGATCCCACCCAGACTTTGCACCCTGGCCAAATGCCTGACCACTCTTGCTTTAACTGAGTGTAATAAGCATGAATAAAAGATTACAAAAGATCCAAAAGCAAAGACAATTTTTATTTCCTACAGAACAGATCAGTATCAAATAAGCTAACTCCATCCCTAACACTAGTTCTTGCTGTGGGCATTCAACCAGTCTTTACTATTTATTTGACAAACTTTATAAGGTAAGACATAACAACTTTGTTTTAATCACTTAACTCAGGACCATCTAGGAACTGTGAAAAATTAAATGGTTTACATATTTATTATATGAAGAAAGCTTTTCAAAATTTTTAATCTTCTGCTATTACTTGAAATAAATTATTAGAGAAATATAATTGTTAAAATGCGTAGGTTTAAACTTTATTTTAAAATGTATTTTTAATTTAGTCTACTAAATTACATTAGAATAATGTTAATGTCTTTTGGAACAAAAATTCTATAATTCAGGATTAATTATAGAATAATTTCTGTATCTAATAAGCTAGTTTGGCAATTTGAACAAGGACTTATGCAATCATTTTATCTTCATGCAGAAATCAATGAAAGGCAAACACTATGAATAAAATCAGCAAACTCTACTGAAAGATGAGTTTTGTTTCTGAAACATTATAAAATATAAAGTCTCTGTAATTTATTGATTCTGCCATTTATATGAAATAATTTTAGGCCAAAAGCAAAAAAAAAAAAAAATAACATTTGGCTAAAGAGCATCCTTGTTTATGCATTTATAAATGTAACCTATAATAAACATATGGATTTACATTTCTTTCATTTAACTAATGACATTTTGCATTCCTGAAACCTATTTTGCTTGTACATGGATCTAAAAAAAAGAAAGTTGAGAATTATTTTTAAAAATAGCAGAAAAACACAGTAAAAGAGATTAGATGTGAGTGGGATTCCACAAAGCCAAACTAATAGTAAGAAAGAGAATTCAGGAAGGCAGTAAAACTAAAAAATTAGAGGAAGAAAAATAGAAGAAAATATACCTTGTACTCCAGGAAAATGAAAAGGAATAGGAAAACTTTGGTTTGAGAGGGCTGGATAAAAACTGTCAGAGCAAATAATAATAAAATATGAGATAGTGTGGTTATTGCTATTGAATAAATTGTGTAGAATATCATTTATACAGAGGTTGGTATGAATTTATGATTATATGTCAAGAAAACTGTATAATAATGTGCTTATTTGGGAGAAAAGATAAGTCTTGAGTTAAAGTCAGTATGTCCAAAGCCCTAATTGGGCCCTGTGAATGAGAAGACTTTTCTTCTTAGTATTATGCATGGGATTCATCTTCTTTAAGTCTTTAACGTATTCTTTGATCACATAGCTTATAAAATCTCTTATTCTCAATGAAATTTAGTTCTCGGTCTCTTATTTCCAGAAATTCTGAGATGTTCTTTATGGTATGGACTCAATCAAAGAGAAAAATCATAGGTGACACAAGACACATGATGTTATTCCTTTACCCCTTTGAAAATGCAAAAACAGCTATGTTTATCTATCCAGGCTTATCTTTACACTAATCTTCAGAATCTAAGTTGTCATACTTTATATTCTTCTCCTTGGTTAACCAGAGGATTCCTGGAGGAGGACTATCCTTTGTGTGTTCTATTTCCTTAGCACACTTCTTATTTTTTCCCAAATACCAAGCTATCTTCAATCTTGGCATACCTGGTCTGATCAGCTGGCATTTGGCCAGTTGCACTTGACGCACCTGCCAGCAGAGGTGCTTGGTTATGTGGGAGCAAGGTTCTCTTAATGACCTTCCTGCCGGACAATGTTATGTGAAGAGCAGACGATGGAACGGAGCCAACTATTGCTCTGTCTTCAACCCACCAGCTTTGCTTCTCTGGGGTTTGTCCATCTGGCAGTTATGAAAGAAATCAGTGTCCTGTCTCACTCCTCACTACCACTGTGTGTATTTTCACCCTCTATTCAGAGCCTGGAAATATCATGCTCACGATTTCCCAGTTCACATTCCTTGAAGGCAAGATGCCAAAGAAGGAAAATGTGATTCCTTTTCCAGAACTTTTGAAGTCAATATAGTTTAAGCAGGCAAACATTTCAAAACCATGTTGAATAGTTGTTCCAAATAAATTTTCTTGTTCTCATACTCTTGGGTACACTGAGCTAGCAACATATCAGCCTTTTCTTGTCAGGGAATTCTGCAGGCTAAAAAGTCACTCGATGTGTAAATGGGCATATTGACTGATGATGACTGAACAACAGAATTATAATTTTTCTTTGTTAGTCTATCTAGAAAAATGGTTTCACAGGGCTGTTCATAGCTGGGTACTTCCTGACTGCAAGCCTATTTCAGTTCATTCGTTCTTCCAGCTAACTCTAGTTCTTCCAGCTAACATTGGAAGCTTTGAAGTAACTCTGTTGATTGGTTCTCATACTCTTTTGATTCGTTGGCTCCAACCCTGGTGGAGACAAAGTTTCCAAAGTGAGAGTAGAAAAGAGAAATGAGGTTCTATGAAAACAGAAGGGTAGATTAATTTTTGACTTGACCTCTGGACTAACTGAAGTTATGTGTATAATATTAGGACTGGAATGGTGGTAATGTTCTCCAATCCTGCAAAATGTTGGATTGGAGAACAGTTACAATAAAAATGAGTGAATCTGAATTCACTCAGAAGAATCTGGGAATGTCAAAGCAGATGCTGTGATTGAACCATGGCCACCAAGGGGGGCGGGGCTGAAATGTCTTCAATTGCTCTTTTCACATCCTACTCCTCATAATATAATGGGAAGTTAAGACGTCTTGAATATATAGAAATATTTATTAATAAATATTTGGTTATGGTGCCATGATTTACTTGGGTTAGAAACTTAAAAATCTCAATGTGAATGTTTTTCTAGAAATGTGTATGAGAACCCCTTTCTCCAGTAACATGCCAGTTTTTGACTCTATAAGCTTGAAATTAAAAAATAGCAAAGCTTAGTTTTATCGAAGTATTTATAACTAATTTCTCTGTTTCAAGGTGCTACCAGGCAGATGAGTTTTCACCGTCTACCATAATGTGGAGCAGATATTTTGCCTTCTGTCTCTTGCTTTTGCCAATTTTTATGAGTCAAACAGTATACGGACAAAGAAAGAAAGGAGCAAAGTCAAATTTACTTGCAAGGAAAAATGACCTCCAGGGTAAAAACAAGTTTGCTTATGTTCTTAATTATTAATTTCAGCTGGCTAAAACACTGATTTCACATTTTCTAAATAACATTTGAGGTAAATAATAGTATATCACATATATGTATATACATGACATTCTACTTGGATATAATTATGACAGTAATACATCTTACACACTTAGAGCACATCGAAGTTTTTAGAGCACTTGTGCATTTGTTATCTCATTTGAGCCTCACATGTAAAATAGGCAGGACAGAGACTGTCACTTTCATGTTATAGAGAAGTTGAGACTCAGAGAAGTTAAATGGCACATTTAAGGCACAGGCAAACTAGTAAGAAAGAGAGCTGGGATTCAAAGTTCTCTGTTTTCAAAATAAGTTTATTTCTCCCTTGCTGTTGATGAGTACACTCATTTTGTCCCTTAGTTTCAACAAAGTTGACGACAAAAATCAAAACCAAATAGGGACTCACTGATATGATACACAACCTAAGAAACAACCTAAGAAATAGAGCATTGTAGTTTTTTTTTTTTTTTAACTGCGAGAAAACCTCACTTGTTGAATTTTAAAAATGTGCCCTCCCTTCCTCTCTCTTTAAGTGGGTTTAACATTGAGAATATGCTGTGAATATATGATCTTTTGTTTACTTGTTTGCTCTTCATTTGCATGATCCTACAAGGGGAAAGACTTGGAAAGAGATTTAGTTCTTTACAAGTTAAGCCTTATCTCCAACGTGATCTCTCATATCCACTTCACTCCCTTCTCAAAACCAAATACAACAGCCACTTCAGGGTGCTCCTATACAATGCAGTTTGATGAGTTGGAACAATTAAGTTGCCTAACTTTTTTTGTTCTATTTCAGACTCTGTTTGCTTCATAGATGTGCTCTTCATTGTGGACAGCTCTGAAAGTTCTAAACTTGTCCTCTTTGATAAACAGAAAAATTTTGTGGATAGCTTGAGTGACAATATCTTCCAATTGACCCCGGGTCACTCTTTGAAATATGACATCAAACTGGCAGCCCTCCAGTTCAGCAGCTCAGTCCAGATCGATCCACCTTTCTCTTCTTGGAAGGACCTTCAGACGTTTAAGCAGAGGGTTAAGTCTATGAATTTCATTGGACAAGGCACCTTCTCTTATTATGCCATTTCCAATGCCACTCGGCTACTTAAGAGAGAAGGACGTAAAGATGGTGTGAAAGTGGTTTTGCTAATGACTGATGGCATGGACCATCCAAAGAATCCAGATGTTCAAAGTATTTCTGAAAGTGCTAGAAATGCAGGAATATCATTTATCACCATTGGACTTCTCACTGTCAATAAAACCAAACTTCATTTGATATCTGGGGATGCACCTAGTGAACCTATTCTACTGTTGAGTGATCCAACCATTGTAGATAAAATTCGGGATCGCCTGGTAGGTACCAAATGGATATGCTAAGTATTTTGCACCATAATGTTGATATCTTGGTTATAAATTCTGAAAGGGTTGATACTGGGCAAAAAACATGAAAAAAATATATATACACAAATTTTTTTGGAAATAGAAAGAAAAATCTGAAGTCTCTCTTCATTTCCTTACACCAAGTAAGCTGGGAAAGTACAAGGCTCATTCCCTGAAATTGCATTCCTAACTTTATTATTAGTCCAGGCTGAGGATTTGGGAGGATTACTTTCCAATCATACATCTCAGGCTTCTGTTTATATATCCTAAGATTGTGAATGCTGCTTACATATATTAATTTTGTGGTCAACTTGTGGTCTGATGTATTTATATCAAGTTTGTCTTTTCCCGGTTCCACATCTGCAGAAATATTTTTGGCTCTATTTTACCTATTGCCACATTATACTACTTAAGCAAAATAGAATTTTATAGTAGTAGACCTCCAATTTTGAAAATTATTTCTGTGTTTCTTAGATAAATTAAATAGGCCCATTTAATTTATAATCACCTGAAGTCAACCAACAATTTCTCCATCAAATCAATGAATCCCACTTGATGGGTCTGGTTAGATGCCTCATTGCTTCTCTGTATTTTTTGCTTAGCTATGTGTGAAAGTCTCTCCTTGCTGCTTTGGAAAACATGAGGCATAGCAATCAAAAAGAAATCCCTCTTGACAACATTTCTCAAAAAGAAAACTCCTGGAGATTAATTGGTTGATTTGTTAAATGTTAAAAAAAAATCGATTTCCTTAAAAATACTGATTTCTTTGATTTTCTAAGAAGGCAAGACAGCCTAGTCCTTTAGGCACTGAGCATGTGGATATCTTCTCTATGATGCAAAAAAAAAAAAAAAAAAAGTCAGATCCTACTCTGAAGATCGTTTTGATCCTTTTGTCCTTCCTCCAAAGCTTTTCCTAATGTTACTCTTATCTTTTTAGTGTCAATTGTTTTCAGCATGAGACCTGAGTTTTTCTTATCTGAGTAATATCATATATTGTATCTAAGTAATATCTAAGTGATATTGTAATACCATATATTGCCAGTTTTTATAAGTCAAACAGTATACAGACAAAGAAAGAAAGGATGAAAGTTGAATTTACTTGCAAGGAAAAATGACCTCCAGGGTAAAAACAAGTTTGCTTATGTTCTTAATTATTAATTTCATCTGGTTAAAACACAGATTTGAAATTTTCTAAATTGAGGTAAATAGTAGTACATCATACACACACACACATACACACACACGACATTCTACTTGGATATAATTACATATTAGGTGTGTATTTTACTTTATTCTGTGTTTTCCAAAATCTTATGATATAGGTACTGTTATTATTCCTATTTTATGATTGAAAATTTAAGGCCAGTCAAAACCCCAGAGTGTGCATGCTTAACTCTATAAAGGTGTATTCAGAGAGGAAATAGTAACTGTTTTAAAAGTTTTTTTTTTTTCAATGAGAAATGTCCTGAAACAGGTAAACAACATCTCTACTATTATTTTTAGTCTTTGCTCCTTGGGGATTGAGGATATATGGGAAGGGTTCTGCCTAGACTTGAGAGAGAGATGACACCTAGCTCCCTAGTGCTTGGGGTGAGTGTGCATCCTGAACAGTTCTTTCACATGAGAGGGAACCTTGCCATGGTGCTGGGATAACATTGAACCCTGACTGTACCCATGGCCCAAGGTGTCCTTACCACTTAAGACAATTCTGGCATGTGCAGAAGAGAATCCTGGGGCTGTAAACATGAGTGTCCTGCTGCTACTTCCCTGTCATTGTCCTGTGAGAAGAGTTGAATATAGAAGATGTGGGGCAGGCAGGTCCTTGTTTGGCCAGATGTGCAGGCTCAGGATATTCATACTTCCTCTTGACATATGCTTGTTGAGAAATTCTACCTCAAAGGGCACACAGGCTCTTGCCAGGAGACTGGAGGCAGGACTGTTGGTCTGTTTCTAGGGAAATCAGAAAATGACCAACAGTGTTGCTATTCCTTAGCATCCTGTGATTTCAGCTTGTTTGTTCAGATGGAAGCTTAATGAATAAGACTGTTCTTAGAAGAGGTACTGCTTCCCAACCATTTCCTGGGTCCAGAACAGAATGCATTTTTTTTTTTTGTACTGGTAATTGAACCCAGAGGTGCTTTACCATTGAACTACAACCCCAGTCCTTTTTATTTATTTATTTTTTCCTACATTTTTTATGAGTGTGTTATAAGTGTGCATAAGGATGGTATTTGTTACATAATCTTTAATGCACACAATATAACAATATACTTTGGACAATATCATCCTTTTTATCTTGATTTTGAGATTGGGTCTCAGTAAGTTGCTGAGGTTGGCCTTGAACTTGCCATCCATCTGTTTTAGATTCCTGAGTCACAGGGATTGCACGTGAATGCCACCACACCCAACCCTCCTGAGTGTTTATTTAGGCTCTTTAAAGAACAATACTCCAGGGTTTATGTTTCTATTTCACCATCTATGAAGTAGAACTTGACTCCTGATCAGGTTATTGGAAACATTCCTCATTTAATCTATTTGTATTATATCTTTAATTGAATTTTTACCACTTTATTTTGAAATGATTTCATAAATATGAATTTCATAAAAACTATTTCATAAATATCATAAAAATGTTAGGTATAGTTTAATTACAAAACTGCATCTACTTAAAGTATATAACATATGAGTTTTAAAAATGTATATACATGCATGAAACCATCAATGCAATCAGAATACAGAACATTTCCACCACCCAGCTTCTTCCTTACACCGTTGGGATACTTGCCTTAATACTGATATGACTTTTGTTGCTCTAGGCTAGTGTACATTTTCTAGAATTTTATAAGTAAACTCATACAGTGTGTGCTCTGTTTGTGGCAAACTTTTTTTACCCAGCCTAATGATTTTAAAATTAGTCAGAGTTGTTTCTTTGGATTAGCAGTGTATTCCATTTTATTGCAGAGTAAACTTAAGATGAATTTAATTGACACAATTGTCCAGAATAAGTCAACTTTGCAAGAGTCAAGATGAATTGCAGAGTCAGTGTATATGCCTTGATATCTCTAGTAGAAAGTTTCATGAAAGAATCTCACGAAAACATTTTAATTCTGAATTACCCAAGAGGGATGTGGTAATTCCTAATTGAAGGGGATATGTGAAATATTTTTATTGTTAGTTTATTATGGTTCACATAGTAGTGTTGAAACCTAAGAAACAAATTCAACCAATGTCCCATATATATTACTTGGTCCTTTAGAAGAGTAAAAAAGAATATGTGAAAACAATTTTTTTAAAAAATTTTTTCCTCCATCACTTTTAATGTAAATATTTAAAAAGCCTTTATGAGAACAAAAGTTGTGACAAATTGGTCTCTTTTAATGAATATCATCAGAAAGAACATAAACTTTAGGTATTCCCTCCCTCACATAAATAATCATTTTGGTAATTTCTATATCATCTTCAGAATTATATGATTTATTTTTAAATAATGGCCCACTTCTCTTTTTTTCAGGGCTTCTCTTGCTTGGAGTCTTATTTCTGCTCTAATGTATTTCAGATTTTGTTAGCAATTTTACTATTATATTAAGCTGTAAGTTTTGTTCTTTGTTACCGTGTTCGTCATCCTTGCCTACTGAGTGCTTTAGTCTCATCCCATTTGCTATGATGCTAATAACGTTGTCCATCCCTCACATTTCCTCTATCTCCTTCTGGTAGCATTGACCTTGTAACTCTTCTCTGTAAAATAGGCAGTTCCCTTCTCGCCCTCTTCTTTGACATATACATATATCATCATAAAAATCCAGATCTATTAATAAAACGTATGCCTTAGCTCTAGTGAGGGTCTCTATTATTTATCCTTTATATTGAAACTCAGATTCCACCTAGACTGTAACTGATGTGTCTTTCCCTCTGGCTTTGACCACGGGCCCCAGCTGTTCTCACACAATGCCTCTCTGCCCACTTGGAAGCCCTCACCAAGGCATCCAGTTGTGTTCACGTGGGCCCTTCCATCCACTCTGGTTAAATGTCCCTCCTCACTGCTTCCTTTGTCTTATTGCCCACACTTGTCTTTATGACTTTTTTCCTCTTAAACTTTGACATATAGCATGGCATGCCATCAACAAGTTGGTCCTTTGCATTCCTCTCTTCGAAATCATCCAGAAACCCCACCTATTCCAAGAAACCATCTCATTCCTGCCCTTCTCCCTGACCCCCTGCACTGTTGGCTGTGTGTTGTCCTCTGTCCCTGGGGCCTATAGACTATAAGTGAGTGCCTTTAGGGACGAGGCTTTGTTCTTTGTTTGAAACAGTCTTTTCTTTTCTAAAGTTTTGTGTTCATTTTTGTTTCCATAGAAATATAAATTCCAGCAAACACATAATCAAATGAATTCCAAAAATAGTTACTTGTGTTGTTATGATTTTAAGCTTTATGGCACATATTTTCAAAGAACAATACAGCAAGACAGAAATTGAATTTTCAAAAGAAGGGCTGATATGTAGAATTTCACATCAGGCACACTAACAGCTAAATTCATGAATTGAAAAACTGACGATATTGCTTATTGTTAAAAAGGTTTTTGAGTGACAAAGCTTTGAATTTTTCTTTAGTAGTTGTTTTAAAATTTTATAATTTGGCTTAAATTATCAGGGTTTTAAAAATTGTCTCTCAGGAGCTCCTTTTGAATTCTTTTTTCCTCTCACTTTCCCAGAGGACACCAAGCTTCTAATGTGTGTTTTAAATATTTTATAATTTGGATTATATTGTACATATCCATCTGCAAAACGCTTTTTCACCTGATGTTTTTGGAAACTTATCTATGTTGAATTACAGACATCCAATGCATTTGTTTTAACTGCTGAATAGTATTTCACTTATTGACCGATTCTACTATGTTTTTTTGGGGGGGGGTACCAGGGATTGAACTCAGGGACACTCAATCACTAAGCCACATCCCCAGCCCTATTTATTTTATTTAGAGACAAGGTCTCACTGAGCTGCTTAGAGCTCGCTTTTGCTGAGGCTGGCTTTGAACTCGTGATCCTAACTGGTGGATTTTCTTAATGCATATGTCCAATGTCTCTCCTTCATTGTCCTTTCCTCTGCCCACCTGTTCATTATTGACTAAGCTAACTAACAACTGTCTAAAGCCCACTTATATTTCACAAAATTATGACTTTAAAATGAATGTTTTGATGCCAAAGAATAAATTCACACATGTATAAGGCTGGAAAAAATGGCAGAAAGGAAAATACACAATTATGTATTCTGCCTTAGTCTTTGTAAGTAAAAGTAAGGACATTCTCATTATGACTGATTAAGTTTGTAGCTAAATTATAGAGAGTATAATGCTGATCAAAGAAACAAAAGATAAAGCACAGAATGCAATAGGATAAAGATCCTAGAAAGCATAGAGTAATTTTTAATGTTAGTGCCCTTCATGTCTCCTATTATTACATGGCTGAGAGTGCTCCTTGGGTGGTTGGCTGGCAGGCTTTATTGCTTTTACAAGGTTAAAAAGGCTCAATTGCTATTCTACTTGGAAATTGCATATCCCATAGGGAATAATTAAGAATAATAAGAAGCTGGAAGCAGAACCATTAATTGAGTTAATGTTTCATTCTTTTTTCCCTCCTAGGATATTTTATTTGAAAAGAAGGTAAGCACCACATGCTTTGATTACTATGAATGACTCTGAAAGCTTACATTATCAGATCAACATTATAATTCACATTAGAAGCTAAGGTGTGACTAAACAAAAATGCTTAATTCTTTTCGAACCACTCTCTTTTAAAATAGTCATCTGATTTTTCTGCCACTATATCCACTGTAGGTTGAAAAATTTAGGAAAAGTAGGGACTATTTAATATGATTAAAAAATAATTTTAGAAATCAGTGATAACCAAATGGCATAGTTTTTGCTTACTTTGACATGGCTTCTTTTATTCTAAACTCATCTCTGACATCAGCTACTCGTGGAGTCCCTGTACTTGGGGAGATGTTCCCGGTATTGGCTAGCTTATGGTTAGTGCTAAGAGAAAAGAGCTTAGAATCATCCCCTGCTGCAGGCTGGTTGACTATAAGCTCATTGTCTTTCCTGTTGTGGAGAAAATTGGGCCTCATGATGGCAACCAGGGCATAGGACAATGGAAGCTGGCCAACAGCAATAGATTGGATAGGATATTGCCCAATAGATAATTATGAGTTTGCTGAGGATTCCCGAACAATGTGGGCATTTCTTAAAAGAAAGAGTTTGGAACATCTGAACTTTTTTCAATAAACTGCTTAACATCAGGACATTTACAGTTATCATTGCATAAGATAATAGAAGTCAACCAAACCTTGTAAAATATCAGGTTTCATTGAATTATGCACAGATACAACATTATTTTATGTCCCATCAATAAAGGAAACATCTTTGCCCATTAAACAGTGATACAAATGCCTTCTCATCAATTGCAACTTTTATTTTACATTTATGGAAAGAATCCTTTTACATTTATTTAGATACAGACTTTTAAATCCTGTATTACTTTTTTGCATATATATGGAGAAAAATATAAGCAAAATAAATTGTTTTTTTTTTCCTAAAACTTCACCTCAGTGTCTAAATCTTGAATCAATGCCCTTGTTTTTCCACATAATTCTGGCCTCTGCACCATCAAAACCATTGTCAATGAAGCATGTTTTTTGGTGTTCTCTGGCATTTTCTTCCATTTCATTCTGTAAGTCTTGAAGTGCATGTGCAGAAAACAAATACTTTGTCATATTTGACCTGTTAGCTATTCTAAGACTCACTTTGATTTCAGAGATGTTAATATGAGGAAAAATGTGCTTCTTAGGATTGACAAAATGTGGTATAAGTTAAATGTTTTCTTTTGCTAAGTAAAGGAGAACTTAATATTTGTCTATAATGAAGCGTTCATGTGTTATATAGAAGAGTAGAGCAGATATTCCAAAAGTCCACTGAAAATGTTTATTTTCCTATTTTAATTGGTATCTATAAATCTTTGACAGAATATCTATTTTATTTAACCATAGCAAAGTTTAATAATACTTTAGTAGTTGGCTCTTAATAGACCTGAGTTTGCCTGGAATCATTTAATAGAGCAAAATCTCCATAAACTTGCAAGGTCAGCTTTCTCTAAGGGAGTGTTCCAGTTGTGTATTGGATAATATTTGAAATGCTATCCTAACTATATTTCACTGTGTGCTTAATACTGTGTTTCATTATTGATTTAGTGTGAACGCAAGATCTGTGAATGTGAGAAGGGGGATCCAGGCGAACCAGGGCCTCCTGTGAGTATATTATTACTTCAAACTTGAGGCTGATGAAGACGGTGATGGCACAGTGATGAAACTGCTTTCAGAAAGGGCTTTTCAGTGTCATTGCTTATTGGATAATGGGGGCCCATGATTTCTGAATAATGAAGTGAAAATGCAGAAAACGATAATACAGGTCATCAGTACTTTAGGAAAGCTTTGTTTTACTAGAAGCAAGGACACAGTCCTCTTGGGAAGCTCTTGCCTTCACAGCAATGCAGCAACAACTGGAGAGGCCAGTAGGGCATTTTGGGAGATTCGGTAAATTCTGTCAAATGGAAGCAATCACTGGGCAACCAAAGATAAATGGTGGGATTTAGTATGACAATTCGATATCTGATACCATCGTCCATTCTAGCCTAGGATCAATAGTGCCATCTGTGTAGTTGGAAACCATTTGAAATGACACTAAGACTGCTAGAGATGCTGAATATTTTTCTGACTGATATCAGAAAGCATCCAAGCTGCTTATCACGCATTTCATTTATTGATGGGATTGCAAACTTTATCCTTAGAGTTCAGAAGCCTGGGGAGATGTTTCACAAAATACATGGATTCGATTTTGAACTAATGCTCCTATTTGGGGGTGGGGAGGGGTATGCATTTTGTGAATATCTGAGAATATGACACATTTTACCTTGAGACTTGATTCCAAAGCTTGTTCCTTTTCAAATCAGTCTAGCACTGAAGGTGTTAAGAAGTGAACTTGTTTGTCCCCACAACCCCAATATAAAGTTGCCAGAGGAAAGGATATTCTGTTTTAAAATGAACAGTGCTAGTAAGAAAGTTTACAGTTGCTAAGCTAAGCTACCATTTCAGCCACTTATGTTTTAATAGGGGTAAACCATAGAGCTATGTTATTTAATATTTATTAAGCTCTCCAAAAACAGTTTTCAGAAAAGCAACATTTTGGGTGGCTTGAGCCTAGTAAAACAAAGTGCTTTTCTGGAACAGGATTGGGGAGCTCCCTTCTCCTATCTTTTGAGGTTGTTCCCTGTATATCAGAACCTCTGTGACCAAAGACAAGCAAGCTGGTCTGGTTCTTTCAAAAGTGACTCAGAGGTGGGGGACTATAGTGGTCCACAATGAAGTGAGAATAGGAATAACTCCTATATTTTTGCCTGTTCAGTCATTCCTTTCAATCTTTGAGTTTGATTTTGTTTACAAAGCAACTGAAAAGTAATTATTTGGGGAAGAAGTAATTGTTGGGAAGAAAGAGATATTATCCTTTTAAACAATTGCAGAATTTGTCCATCTGAGACAGTACAGTAGTAAAGGGGAGAAAAGAGTCGAATCTCTGTGAAGGTTTTATAATCTTCCTTTGTTTGTGGGATGTGACAGATCATAAATTATGATAAAGAAAACTAATAGAATACTTGCTCAAAATAATTTTTTCTCTCTTTGCCTTCAGGGTAGACATGGAAACCCAGGTATTAAAGGTGAGCGAGGACCAAAAGGAAATCCGGTAAATGAATAGACTGCTTTCTTTTAAATCAGTGTATATCTGTCTAGACTTACTTAAAGAATAAACATAAAGAAAATAAAGAGCATTGCAATATATGGCAAGAATCTGATGAGTTTTAAGAAGAATATAGGACACTGACTTCCTGTATTATCTATCTTGTTTTTGTTTGCTTGCTTTTACAAATTCTAAATAGAATTTGAAAGTTTTAGACTGTAAGTTTAGGAAATCTAGGGACATTAGCTAAGCAGAATTTTTTACTTGAATAATAATGGCCCAAATTAATTAGGACAATGTTTCATGAACCACTAATACATGTGCCACATCAGATTCACATTGGCACTTGTGTTTTTTATGGATCTGCATTATGGATAACTGACTTATACCAGATGTTTTCTCTGTCCTAGAACATCATTTGTCGTTTCTCTTAATTCTTTTTTTTTTAAATGTGTATACCTATCCAAAAAATCACAGATTAAAAAAAATTACCTATTTATATTACTGTTGGGACAATAGTGTTCTAAATTCAAGAAAGATTGAAGGAATCACAAAGAGAGAGAATAGAAAATATAACTATGTGAAAACTTAAGGCAAAATTCTGTACAGTGAAAATAATAGTTAAAATGTGAAGACATCGAATACAAGGGACATTGGATTAACTTCTATAGTACATAAAAAACTTGTAAAACTGATGAGAAAATATAAAGTTTTTAATAATTGAGTGGGCAAAGGACACAATTTTCAAGAGAGGACATAAAACCAGTAAAGAAAAAAAATAGAAAAACATTTAATTTTATTAGGTAATGAAAGAAACTTAAATAAAGACAATGAGATACCCTTTAACACTAATAATTCACATTTTAAAAACTTGGAATCCAGAGGCTCCTTAGAAGTAGTTTTCTAGTTTACCTAGTTTGCTTTTTGGGTGTTTTGAATTTTAAGAACATTTCTTTTCTTATAGCAACTAACATGGCAATTTTAAAGTAATAACTAATGATAGTGATATGGTAGTGAAGCTGGTTTGCTCTTCATTGCAAAGATAACTTGGCACAGATATTTTGGAATAAATTGGGCAATAAAGAGGAGACATTCAAATACTTGAAATTTTGACTCAATCTATTTCTGAAAATACTTTTAGGAAAGTATGGAAAATATAATGTTATATGCATGAAAGTATTTTTGGCAATTGCTTGCTTGCCAAGTAAAGGGAATGTATAGCATCTTTGGTTCATTCTAAAACACACACACACACACACACACACACACACACACACACACCCTATATTCACTCATCTTACGTAGGCTTGAATTGATGCCATCATGCTGTTTGTTGTTGTTCTAAATACCTGTTATAAGTTAATGTGTACCAGTCATGTATTTAGTTTGTAATTTCTTGCTCCATAATTTATTTTCCTAAGTCTTGTTGACATCAACCAATCACTCCTAAACACATTTTGGAAAACATTCCAAAGCCTCTTGGAGAAAAGCGAGGGTGTCCGGCTCAGAGCAAATACAATGCTCTATTTGAGAAAAAAAAATGACCATGTTGTGAAACTGGGATGTGTCCTAAGCTGCAAAAATGTACCTGAATCCTGTATATTTAGCTTTATACTCAAAGGGCAAAGTTTATCTGAGCTGCTGTTTTCTTCCTTATATTGTATGTGATAGTGCCAATAGTAAAGTCTTAAGATTCTTCCCTAACTGGGTTAACCTATTAGTCTGAGACTTCTGAATTGAATGCATTCATTCAACTGAGCAATAATCACTCTGCAAGCCTGTGGAATTTTGACTGATTTTTGTTTGTTGTAGGGTGATGCTCAAAAAGGAGAAACTGGAGAAAGAGGTCCTGGGGTATGTACACAACTGGAATGCCTTCATATGGAAGTGATCTCGGGATGCTAACATTCTGGGATTGACCATTTTGATCCCCTCAGGGCAAATGCAAACCCGACTTTCACCTACCTGTGCTCTGATGGTTCAGGCAGGCAATCAGACATATATGACCTTGGGAAATAAAAATGTGAGGAGAATATACTTTGATGGAACCAGGGGTTTTCAACCCTATGACAGTCCCTGAAGCTTAACTGGACACTTGTGAAAGGCTCAAATGACAAAAGCAGTTTGCTTTATTTCTTGTGTCCTTTTTCATGATGAAGAATAAGTTGAGTTTCAATGTCATAATAATTACATTGTCTAAACTATGCTGTTGTCAATACAATCTACAAACAAAATAACATTTATCATTTTAGTTGATTTCTTATCTCCCAAATTAAAAGATAACAAAGATTGCTTGAGAAATAATATAGTGCATGTCTTATTTTTCATTTTCCTGAGCATTTTGGTAAGGGTAGCAAATAGCAGAGAAAGTGAAAAAAGGAGGCCTTGTTGTGTGGTGCCTCTCTGCTTGTCCCCTTGGGTATAAGCCCTGGACTCAGACCAAGAGATTTAAGTACTGTTCTCTTGGTATTTTTAATTAACTTTGTGAAAGAATCTGATAGAAACTCTTACAGTCTCATTAAGCATTCATTCAGAAATTTGTGTTATTTTATTCAGGGAACATTTCTTAGGGTTCTTATAGATATATGCATACTAGTAAGAAAAATAAAAGTATATTTTTAAAAAGCTTATTATGTCTTAGGAGAGATAAGATATTCCAAATAGCTACAGTTTGAAACAGAATATCAAAATATTGTTAAAAGGTCATGAACAGGTACTGAGAGGAAACTGGAGTCATCCAGGTATATTTTACAGGATGATTCCTAAAGATATAAGGCTGCAACAGGCAAAGATAGGACAGGTTGGGGAAAAGACAGGCAGATGGAGAGAATGCCATAAACACCAATCTAAGGGAGGATACTGATGGGGAATGGTGAAATGGGTTTCTTGTGAGACTTAGTGTGAAGGGTGGATTGGACAAAATGCCCAATCCTGCTGCAAGGTCTGGGTTTTACTAGGTGATGAGAAGCCCCTGAAATTTTAATGAGGTACAATGACCCAAAAGCTGTGTAATGTGATGATTAATCTAATGAGACTCTAAAAAGGAGAAAGAGAAGCACTTAGAAGAAGGTCTGCTACTGTAGTGGACAGGAGAGTTAACACAGACATTGGCTCAATCTGCTCTGGCCAGTATGAAAACCACCAATCAAATGTGGCTATCGAGCCCTTGACACATGGCTACTCTGAATTGAGGTGTGCTATAGGAGTAAAATATACATTGAATTTTAGAGCCTTAGTTCAAAAAATTATCTCATTGGTAATTTTTATATTGATTAAATATTAAAATGACAGTATTTTAAACCTGTTGGTATAAACAACATATAATATTAATTCCACCTCCTTATTTTTACCTTTAAAATGTGACTATTAGGACATTTAATATTATATATGTAGTTCACATTTTTGGCTTACATTAAGTAAACAATATCAGGCTACAGCAAAGACAAAATAGAAAAGAAGACCATTGTGAGAATCCATGAAGTGGTGGAAATGACCACATGTGTTGACTAATTCTAACTCATATATTCAACAAATATTTATTGAGTACTTGCTATATGCCAGGCACTCTGTTAGGTGCTGGGGATTCAGGCGTGAGCAAGACAGTCCCTGTCTTAGCAAATGTTTCAGTGAAGGAAACAAGAAATAGCCATACAAATAGATAATTTCAGTCAGAGAAGTACTATGAAAATATAAAACAAGGCAATGAAAGTAGTCTAAGAAGAAGGAGCAGAGACAAAGGCCCAGAGACAGGAACATGCTTGGTAGACTCAAGAAATGGAAATAACCCCAGAATATGTTAATGAGTGATGGGCGACAAGGCCTTAGAGATAGGCAGGGGCTAATCATATAGGACCTTGCAGGCCAGGATCAGAAGTGTGGGCTTAAAGTACAGCAGGAAGCGGTTGCAGAATTTTGAACAGGTTGAATTAAAGGGATATAATGGTAAGACAAGGAGAGAAAAAACAAATGATGATAAAATTTTGATTCTGTGTGATTTGAAATGTGATGGTGCCATTACTAGAAATAGGAAAATGAGAAATTTTGCAGTTTGGGTGCCATTTTGGATATTATAAATTTGACTATATAAAAACTAGTAATTAAGAGAGGTCATGTATAATGGCCAAAAAAAAAAAAAAAAAAAAAAAAAAAGCTCATGTAAAAAAAAAAAAAAAAAAAAAAAAAAATGCCCTGATGTAACAACCAAACAGTAAATTGACCATGATTTTCAGAAAGAAAACAGGAAGAAAAAGAAAGAAAGAAAGAAAGAAAGACAAGACTACTTAAAAACAATATTTCTTTATTTTGTAAGGCTATATTGTCTCCTTCCAAAATATAATCTTAACTCTTTTAGTATAAAGTGATGACAGAATTATAAATATGGATGTGTGTTATAATGGGTGGAGAGTGCCCTAAGGTTCCTGAGATTAGAAGAACAGGCTTTTTTAGCATGAATGGTTTTAATAGGAATTCCATTATAGGTGGTTATCTATAATATGACCTTTAATTTTAAGCACACTCCTAATTAAACAACATGAACAAATAAATATTTCTAAACTGGATTAAATTGTAGTTTCACCATGTCTTCCACTAATTCTACTTTTATGTTCTATTCCTCAGGGACCACTCATTTGGAAAGAAGGTTTATTTCCTTATTGAAGTTTCCTTTTGTTAAAAAGTCATAACAGGACAAAATGTTGTAGTCTGACTTACATGTAACAGCAATAATAGCTTGTTTATGCCATTGGTTTCTCCAGCTTGATTTAAATATGCCATATAATTTTGTTTTTGTGCTTGAAAAATATAGTTGTATGAAAGAGGTATGAAATCCAATTTGGAAAAGATTAATTTTGCTTAGAGTGGATAGCTTCCTGGTTCATTTAATATTCAATACTGTATCACTTAAAGGGCTTATGGGTAGAGTCACAGTGGAGGAGGCTGTATGAGATTTCCAGGACTGACTCAGAAGACAGCAGAGGTGCTGGCCCCATGTCCAGCTTGATATAAAAGACAATAACTTAAAAGGCCACTGTCTCATCAGGTTGATAGAGGAACCATTCATTTTCTCAATGTTATATATTTGAAACCAAATTTGAAAGGAGGGCCATAATAGATACAGTTATTTACCTATATTCCAAAGGCCATTATCTCAGCTCATTTTCAAAGCCAATTTCTCTAATGGCCTCTGAGAGACATTCTCAGCTGCCATAGTTCACAGTTTAAAAGTAAATATAACAATTTTGAAAGAATTGTTATGGGTCATCACTTTTACAATGACTTTCAGTATAGCTTCTCTCCTTTAGTTTGATGCCAAAGAGTAAGAGATTAGGGTTGGAAAAAAAATGTTTGAAATAGAATAGAAGACAGTAGGGAAACATAGGTTCTTTTCTTCTCAATAAATGCGTACTTCCCAAACATAAAGTGAAATAGTTCACATGTGTATTATCTTATTTTCCAAGACTGCATAGATATGTATAGGTATGTTTTTATTATATCTTATATATGAAAAACATCTAGCTCTTCCTCTAATTCTGCTTTATAATGGTTTACTTTTTTATTTATTTTTTAACTAGGGAATTCCTGGGTACAAGGGTGACAAGGTAAGAATTGTCTATGGGTTCCATTTGACCTCCCCACTTCCCACAGAGTCTGCAGGGGGAAAAGACTGTTCCTCTTCTAGATCGTATTTTGAGTAACCAAGACCTCAGAAATTCCTGCAAAATGGCCCAAACCTGCTTGAAGGGCACACATAAAATCATTCCTGTATCTATTTTCTTCCTAAGCCTGAGAGGGAAACAAGAGATGGCTGTTTCTAGGGTCAGGAGGAGTCAAGATATGTACTGAGTATCTATAAGTCCTTGAACAACTCAAGATCTCTGGTAATACAGTCCTGTCTAGAATAAATGGAATAATGGGTGTGATAATGTATTGTAAATTGTTTGCAGGACTATAAATGTAAGGTTCAATTATGAAGAGGCAAGGAAAAATGTTAACATAGGAAAGTTGAAATTTTTCATAATTATAAAATTATAAATTTATCCTGAGTAAAATATGAATTCCCCCATCTTGATTTAAACAATGAGGTAGTTATTCAACACCAGAAAGCTCTACACATGCACGCGCACGTGCACACACACCCACATATATTTAAAGATTCATATAACCTTCTGGAGAATTTTAGATTCACTGAAAGAGTTCTCACTTGGAAAATACAATTTTTTCAGAGAAAAGTGACCCTGAACCTTCGACATTCAAACCAGAATTTCACTAGGAGAAGCAGTATCAGAAATCCAAGGCTAGGAACAGAGCTAATCTGTTTATAGCTTTCTGAAGTACTTGCTCCCTAGAACTATATAATTGTGACTATTCCACAGGGATTGATGATCCCACCAAAAAAATAAAACGCCTTTCTGAGGCAAATAACATGAATACAATATGTTCATTGATGGGAATCTGCCCCCCAAACAAATGCTGTTCCTCAGGACCCTAGAGCTAACAAATTTGTCTAGACAAATGGAATGTGAATTCTAGCCAAAAGGATTTTTGAATGTATTTTTGGTACTTTTCTGTTTTATATTTTAGTGGTTGACTCATTTTGTTTCCATCTAACATTACTAAATTAATTGCTTTCTAATTGGGTCTTCGAGAATGATTTTCTATTTACATTCAGAAATTAATGTTCAACTTGTTCTGAGTGAAGACTCAATTTTCCCTGAGTTAGTCATGTTCAGCCAGAGGAAGGAGAATTTGTGCTCCATTCCTGTGCCATGTGTCAAAATGCATTCTACTGTCATATAAAACTAATTAGAATGAATTAAAAAATAAAATAAAAAAACAAAATCTGAAAAAAATGATGTAGAGAGAAAGATTGCTTTTTAACAGATAGCTGACTCAGAGAATTACACCGTTTTCTTTTCTGCTCCTGATGTCAGTGAAACTCCAGGTAGACCTTGGGTAGAAATGCCAGGTCAATGACCTTGGGGGGAAAAATAATACAAGGGGGACAAACGAATGTCAGTAGAGGGGGCAGAGAGAGAAGAGGGGAGGGGAGGGGAGGGGAGGGGGGATAGTAGAGGATAGGAAAGGCAGCAGAATACAACAGACACTAGTATGGCAATATGTAAATCAATGGATGTGTAACTGATGTGATTCTGCAATCTGTATATGGGGTAAAAATGGGAGCTCATAACCCACTTGAATCAAATTGTGAAATATGATATATCAAGAACTATGTAATGTTTTGAACAGCCAACAATAAAAAAAAAAAGAAAAAAAAAAGAAATGCCAGGTCAATGGAAATAACTTATATCCCATGATAAAGTGCCCTGTTTGGCTATGGTGACTGATACATGAATCTGGAAGTCTTAACAGACTCAAGTCTGTGATTATAGGCAAAGAATTTAATCTTTCTGAGTTTCATATTCCTTATATATGATTGGATATATGAATATATGTGTGTATATATACATATATCTTGTATATGTACATTATGTACTGTGCAAGGTGATATACTTATGGAGATAGCAATCATGTAAAGGCTTTAGCACACGCTTTACACCCATAATTGGTGATTACAATTGTTATTTCCTTCCTTAGGGGAGTGCTATTCTACATGTGGTCTTCAGGCTGGCTGCCAGTCTTGTTAATGTTTGCTGTTTAGCAATGAGAAAAAGCTTAAACCAGAATATAAGTTTACTGTATTACTATAAACACTGCTAAATTCAGCTGAGAGTTATTTCCCATGACACAACTCCCTTGATGAAGGAAGCAATGCATTGAATTACATTCTGGTGCAATTTCCTTATGTAATAGTGACACACCAAGTAGCATGTCCTAGAACAGCACGTAGGTAACAAAGCTGCAGCAGAAGCAGAAATTGATATTGAAGGCACTGGGTTAGGAGTTATAGGCTAGCATGTATGTGTCATAAGTAAAACATTTAATCTCTCCAATTGTTCCCTTATATTAAAAATAAGAATTGATTTGAGACTCAGAGTAAATATATATGAAAGCATTTGAAAATGCTAACATTTTATAAGTAAGAGATGATTGTATTATGATTGTGAAAGTTTAGTCATTTTTCTAATTGGATGTGACTTTTTACTTTTAACTCCTAAAAGTCTTCAAAGTCTGATGTGATGAGTTAGTATTCAGAGATTCCAATTCTCATCTGTTTGGGCAAACCACTTAACCTTTTTTTAAAAATAAACATTTACTTTTATTGTAAAATAATTTTGATTGACAAAAATTTTATAGTTTGTAAAATACAATATGATGTTTTGAAATATGTATGCATTGTGAAATGGTTAGATTGAACTAATGAACTTATGTGTTACCTAACAGTTACCATTTTGTGTGTGTGTGTGTGTGTGTGTGTGTGTAATGAGAACACTTAAAAATATTCTCTTCTAATGCTTTTCAAGAACACAAGATGCTGTTACTAATTATGGTCACCATGTTGTACAATGGGTCTTTTGTAGTTGTTGCTCCTGTCTAATTGAAATTTTATATCCTTTGAGAAATTTCTCCCAAACTCCAACCTGTTACCCCTGGTAACCACCATGCTACTCTCTGCCTCTGTGAGTTCAACCTTTTTAGGTTCCCCATAGAAGTGAAATCATGAAGCAGTTTTCTTTCTGTGTGTGTCTGGCTTATTTCATTTAACTTATGTCCCCTAGTTTCATCCATATTATCATGAATGATAGGATTTCCATTTTGCAGGCTAAGTAGTGTTCCATTATGCATATAGACTACATTTTCTGAATCTTTTTGAATTGCAAATTTTCAGTCTGTAAAATTGGATTAATAATATCTATAGCAGACAGGTAATATCATAAATGTCTGTTAAAACCATTAATAATTTCTAAAGCATAATTAAATGTTAGTTTTTTTAAATCAACATTCTAGAGAAGAGGGTACAGTAGAGCATAATAGTGGAAAATATGTAGCATGCTCACTGCTATGCCCCTGTCTCTCAGCTGACCTTGCTCACTTATCACGGTACCCTTCTAATACATGGTGGATGATCAGTTACTTTCCTTTTAATTTCATTCCTCTAATAATATGTCACAACTCATTAGGTGGCATGACTGGTTTGATCCTGTCAAGTTAAGGACAACTGATGGAGAAAGGTTTTCAGAGTTCAATGCCCATGCAAATCTCAGTATTGAGGATAAAATTGTAGAGAATTTGCGTGGAGTGCTCATGTCCCATAAGATTTTGCTGGGAATCTTAAGAAAAATCCTACTCTTGACTGACTGTAAATGTCCTCTTATTCACTTTATGCATTTATTTTTTAGGGTGAACCTGGAGAATGTGGTAAACCAGGAATAAAGGGTGACAAAGTAAGGAGGATGTTTTATAAATATTAACAGCTGTGATACCTTTTGGTCTGTTTTCTTAAAAGGAAATTCCTGGGGTGAATTATGTGGATCTAATAGAGATGGAGAATCAATGGATCAATTTTCACATATGTGGAACATGAAGTAGCAAACAAAAGGATGCCTAACTTAGGGAATGAAGGCCCAATGCCTTTCTTATAGGGCATAAGACTTTTTTCTGCAATACCTTAACATTTGAGGTCATTTCTACACAAAGTCATGGTGGGAAGAATGAGATTACCAGTAAAGTCAATTCAAACTCCAACACTGCATTTTAATCTATTTTCTCTCTTGATGTCAACACTGAGATCATACACATTCCAAAGAGTGAAGAACTCTGTTAAATTAGTGAAATAGTTAAAAACAGTTTGGAAGAACTAAGCATGGATAGTGGCTTGAAATTTTGAATTTATTTTAGCTAAAATAAAAATACAGATAAAGAACTTAAACTAGAGACAGTATTCAGTACGTTAAAAAGTTTCTTAATAGAACAAGAATATAGAGAATATTAAAAAACATAACGATAAAAGATCCAAGAAAGTACAGAGTAAAACTAAATAGCTTTCATTATAGCTAAGAACTATTAACAATAGGCCCCCAAGATATTAAACTTTTAAAATATCTTTAATTATGGGAGGAAGACAAAGAGAGAAAGTAAAGCAGAAGGTTAAAAGAAGAGGATAGAGTAATGACACCGGTCCATGGAATTAAACACTTGAAATAGCTTGAGACTCCCTGGAAGCTTTTAAACTACTATAGAGTTAAAGGTCAGGTGGATCTGCAAAGTGTAGGCTTAGTAATTATCTCTGGGAAAAATGAAAAGTTTAATGATGAAGAGGTTCTTCCTAGAGGACAACTGAAAAATGTGAGATGAACATGGGGTCATGGAAATACAGAAGAAAGGACACTCAGGACAAAAACCAAAGTCAAACAATACCTGGAAAAACATGAAGTAAAAAATGTCGGAAAAATAATTAATATAGTTTCATTGAGTAAGATGCCAGATATTAAGTATTTCATTGTTTTCTGTACCAAAAAGAAAGAAAATACTGCCAATTTGATGTGATTGTACAAATGTATGATGTGTTTGACTAAGAATCTCCAATGTCAGAGATCCAAATATATGAAAAAAAAAAATGTGTCTTATGTTCAATGAAAGAGGGTCGTTGATACAAAGAGTTCACACAAATTTATAAGAAAATTTATAAGAAAAATATATTAAGAGCACGAAGAGATACAAAAGAGAAATGAGAAAAATGTCCAAGCATAGTAACTATCAGATAAATGAAATTAAGACATTAAAATATTATTTCACAAATCAGATTAGCAAACACTGAACTAGTATATGATATTCAGTCTTCATGGGTATTCTATAAGATAAAGATGTGCTTTCTATATGCAGGTGGTAGGAATGGACAAAAAACTTCACAGAGGAAGTTTCTTTCTATATGTGGTTTGAGAGACAAGGGAGAGTGATGGAGAACCCTAAATGTGTTTCTAGTCTCTGCCTCAGTTTATCTTCTTCTAGGAAACTATTCTTAGGAATGAATCACAAGTTGGACAAAAATTTGTACACAGAGATGGTTGTGATACTACTACTTAAAATAGCAATCATAAATACTTCAATGTCAAAATGAGGCAGATGAGTAAATAAATTGATAGTTCTCTATTCATAACAAATGGAATCTGGGAAAGGAGATATTAGATATTATTCGTATAATATCTAAAATAACAGTATTTTGCTAAATCCCATGTCTTGAAGAGGGACAAAAGAGCAATCTAGATACAATGATAACTCACTAAATTGTTAACTAGTGACATTCCTTATTGGAAGGAAACTATTCTACCAAAACATGCTGCCTTCCAAAGGATTTTGTGAAGTAATTGCTTTACTCTGATCAAAATGTCAATATGTAGGCTAAAAACTGACATGTACAATTGGATTTTCATGGAATTTGTTTATTAAGACAAAGTCTGACCTGAGGTCTCTTGTTAAATAATCATTTCAACTTGTTGGCTTTGGTGTTTGGATAACCAGGGAAGACTGGCTGTTGCCACATGACATTCCCTTTCCTCCCACCTAAAATAACTGCCCTTAGGAGATAGATATTTATAGATACTTACTATTAATTTCATTCCACAGGGATCTCCAGGGCCACCTGGACCAAAAGGACCAAAAGGACTTCAGGTAAGGTTACTAAAACCAGATCTAGGTTTGGATTAGAATCACCTGGGAAACTTTTTTTAAAAATCCCTTTACCCACTTGTACCCTCTTCCAATTAAATCAGAATGTCTGCAGATTGGAACCAGATATCAATATTTTTAAAGATCCCCAGATGATTCCAATTTTTCAGCAAAGTTTGAAAACAACTTTCCTCATGTTTTGATTAGCTAACTCCAGGCTCCCTAAAGACAGGTACTGGCCAGCAAATCTACTTACTGAGCACCTTAAGGAGACGAAAATAATTCAGAGTCTGGGTACGTGTAGAAAGTCAAAGTATTTTTGCATTGCTACTATAATTGGAAGAGTTGTGCTTTTCTCTAAATTATAATATTTGTATTTTTCCATTACTATAAGTACTTAGTCCTCTATAATATGGAATGATCATTTAAGGAATTTGTTTAATTTAGACAAATTGCATGGATTTCAGAAAATAATCTGAATTTGTTTTTCCAGCCTAGGGACTTGTCTCTTCTAAAGTTACACTGAGTGTATATATGTGTGAAGAGTTAATTTTATTTAACCTTTCAGAAAGTTTGCTGAAAGTTGTACTTTTACCAAAGATTTCCTACATAGAATCTAGCCAACAACTTCTTTGCTTTGGCCTGAAATTGTCAGAGCAAGCCAGTATCTCTGGTTATTGGAAATGATTAATTTCAATTATATGGTTTAGATACTAAAAAAAAATTGCTTAATAGGAAAAATTTTTTTTTTCAAAGTCTGGCATGGGAATAAGTTTAGAAACACAGGTTTAGGTAACAAATACCTCATTAATAAGATGTTTGCTCTCAGCTTATGTGCTATTTTAGAAGCTGTTCATTCAACTCAGAATTTTACGTCAATCAGTTTCTTGACTGAATCTGATGCCAATGTAACTCTGAGCTATATAGTCTGACTTCTAACTCTAGGATATCTAGGAACCTTAAAGAAAGGTTCATTCTTGGTTAGCCTTTTGTACACAGAACTAATTCTTTGTTTTCATCTTGGAGCAGGGCATTGGTGGACCTCCAGGAGATCCAGGCCCAAAGGGATTTCAGGGCAATAAGGTAATCTGACCCTGTGATTAGAGACAGGCAGAGTGCCTTCCACCCCGTGGCTTTATGGTAACGCATGTTTTTATTAGACTGACATCAATGGACTCTTTGAGGAAGCATCTTTGGAAATACTTAATAACCTGCAGGTGTACACACAGAATCAATCAAGTATATGCAGGAAGCCAGTGGCATAGCTTTATCATTTATTAGTCTATTACTCAAGGGGGACATTGTTAAACATAAACCATTATCTAGATTCTTCACCGTGTTGTTTTTCTACTCATGTCCTTTAGTCATTTTATGGCTCACTAGAAACTGAAAAGCACTTACCAAATAACACAATTCAAATATTCTCTTTTCCACCTACAATGCCATCTTAGTATACAGTTTATTAGGGAATGGAGCTTATAACTGTTATACCGACAGAGATTAAGCAACCACAACTATCAGTACCCTGCTTGTAATGTCACCCATTGATAATAAGGCAAGACAGACAGGGAGGGATTTAGTGAGAACCAAATACAAAGCGAGGACGCCAAGAGGGGTCTATAAAAGACCTGGTTATAAGACTCCCTTTCCCAGTAAGAGCGACTTTGATTTGTTAAAAGCAATCCTACTGTTTTCAATGCTTAGTACATTTCACAGATGTAGTAAATATTCCAATAAATGGTGTTGTCTTCATGACTGAAGTTGTGTGGAATTTGTAGTGATTGTTAGCTACAGAAGCTGCTCTCCCAACTGACCCTAGAAAATGCTAATCTTTTAAGGGTGCAATATTGGACTTAAGTTGTAGGAGCAGTTGGGCTATTTAAGTGTTAACTTTTCAGAGAGAAGAAAGGGAGTGACAAGTATAGTATTTTAATGAGATAATGACAGTTTGAGATTTCCCAGGCCACTTTTAATTGGCAAATTAAAATAGAATGGGCTTCTCAGAGGGAGCAGGCTCAAGCTTCATCTGGGGAGATTGTCTTTTCCAGTGCTTGCCCCTGATTAATTTTCTCTGGGGGAAAGAAATGCCTTGTTGAATACTGAGTAGAAGTTCTCATGAAATTGCTTTGACTATAGGTGAAATCCCCCAGCAAGCAAAAGATCTATATTTTGATGGTACGTGCATGTTTCTAGAATTCGTTGGTTACCTAAGATGATAATGTTCATGTTTGTGAAATAGAGGCTTAAAATCAGGGATCAGGGCAGGAGATTGTAACAGCAATAGAATTATAGAATGTTTGAGCCATAAATGATTTTAGAGATCATTCCAGTCCAATACTTTTATTTTGGAAATAAGAAATAAAGCCTGGAGATCAAAGGCTTGCCTTAGTAGCACAGGCCACTCCATCAGCTCCTGAGGGCTCTGGGGAGGTGCTGGGCTGGGAGCAGTGTGTGTGTGGTAATGGTGACTGTGCAACAGTGGTGATGAGGACAGGTCCACAGAAAGCTGGCATCATGTGATTATATCTCTTTGTGTTTAGTAGATTTACTTAATACTTAGGTGGTTTTTTAAAAATATTTTTTAGTTGTAGATGGGCACAATATTTTCATTTTATTTATTTATTTTTATGTGGTGCTGGGGATTGAACCCAGTGTCTCATGCATGCGAGGCAAGTGCTCTACCACTGAGCTACAACCCCAGCCCCAGTTTTTTTTTTTTAAGAACAATTTATCTGAATAAAATTTGGTTTTTAATTCAGACAATGCATTAGTTCTTAATAAATAATGAGTCAAGTGGGGTTTTCTGGGAAGGAGGAGTGGCTATGATTTTTCTGACATAATAGCACTTTGTGTTTGAGTTTTATAGCATAGGCATAAAAGAAGTAATTTTTTCCAAAAGTATTGGAGGAGTTCGTCTGTTTCCTAAGGGCATCTCTTTAAATTGAAATTTTAATTGTAATAAAATATATGTGACATAAAATTAACACTCGGGTTTGAATCACAAAGTTCACTGCCAAGTGAACACAGATCATTGCCAATTGAAAAGGTGTCACTTCTAGGCAATGTTGGGAGTTGTTAGGAGGCTGGAAGGAGGGCATGTGAGCTTCCCTGTCTCCCTCTAGTGCTATTTCTGGTTTAAGGTCACAGGTGTAGATAGAGGTCTCTCAACTCTTCCTTTCTTAGAGTATTACTGCTTTCTATATGATTTCTACTACTCTTTGGATCCATTAGCTAGAGATCCATGTCACGTTGATCATTAGTGGACCCTTATTTTGCATTTTATACATTTATTAGTGTGTTGTCTTAAAAGTCAGCTTTCAGGGAATGATTTCATCTTGCCTCCCAGAAAGTACTTCTACATTTTGAAGGCATAATAAACGAATTCGTTCCTTGGCCTGTAAACAATGTTGTATTAGATAGTGGCTTCTTTATTTTCACCCATTATCTTTTTATTAGAAAATGTTTTCAAGAAACTGATATTGTAATTTATGTAAATAATCTCTAAAATCCAGTAATTGTGCATTTTAAAAATATATTTATTTTTTAGTTATAGGTGGACCCAGTATATTTATTTTATTTTTATGTGGTACCGAGAATTGAACCCAGGGTCTCACACATTCGAGGTGAGCGCTTTCCCTTGGAGCCACAATCCCAGCCCATAATTATACATTTTCTAATGAGCATAGGGAGGATTATTTATTTTGTAATTTCTGTAATACTTGTTGATATCTTACAAATTAGGCTACCAAGGCACAAGGAGTTTAAGGAAAGGGTCCAAGTCTATGAAATTAGTAAGGGACAGAATCAGAATTCAAACCCAGAAGTCTGTTCTTAACTACCCTGTGCTATTTATCCCTTTACAAAAAATGGCTGAATTTCCTGAATATTTTTTTCTGAGATAAATGCTTTACTTTTGAACAGTATGGAAGTCGCATATTTTCTCTTCTAGTATATTCTGGCTGAGCACAACACTCTGTTGAAAGGTGCATTTCTACTTGACTATAATGTTCATCTGAAAGTAACAGGAAAAGAAGGAAGGGGATCACTTGGGGAAAAGAAAACAGCAATTCTAATTTTGCATTTTCAAATACTGTATTTCTTATGAGACCTTAAAATAGAAACCTTAGGCTTGTAAAATTTGCAGATTCTGTGAGTTTCTAGATGGTATATGCCCATATTTTTGAATTTATGAATGGTCTCTCATCAACTACAGTCACTTTCTGTTGCTCTGGGAGTAGAATGTTCTTCATCAAAGGGTTTTTCAGAAAAGGTGGCCAAAGGACAAAAGGAAAAAAAATAACATGGGTTGAATCAAGGGAAAATAGGCTTCTGGCCATTTTACAAATCATTTTTGTCATTAATACTTTCCACATGTAAAGTAGCTCCTATTCTGCACTGAATGCCCTTGTTGCCTTAGCAACAAAACATAGATGTTTCTCAGAATGACGCATTGGCTCAGAGGCCACCTCAACTTCTTTTGCACATAAGGCTCACGTGGTGGTATTCATGAGAAGAACATCCCAGTAGTCTGTATGTGAAATAAATTGGAATTATAATCACATCGGTGGCCAAGAAGCCTTATACCTAGTACCAAACTGAAATGTAACTCAGGAGACAGCACTCTCTGGGCTCTGAGGAAAGACTGGAGTCCCTGTGAACCCAAGGCTACCAACTTCCATGGGGCTGCAGTGGCAGCCCAGGATGCAATCACATCTGGCTGCCAAAGGAGCTCTCATAAATAGAAAAAAAATGTCTCACTGGATAGACCTTTCAAATCACAGAGAACAAGTTACCAAAATTAATTGTGAACAAATAAACCCAGTGGAACATTGGGTGGGTCCAACCCAAATTAGGTCATTTTTGCCATTTCTTGATGTCTTTCTGAGGTTATTTCTGAAGCATACTTTCTTCACAAGCCTCATGCAAATCTGCTCCTTCCAAGATAGCCTTTGTGTTCCTGGGAGCTAGGGATGGACTGTGGCATGGATGGAAGCAGCTGTGACACTCGGAGGTATCCTAGCATTAAAGCTGTAGAATTAGGGCCAAAAGAGCATAAGAAGATATCCCTGAAAAAATGCTCACCATCTCTAGCAGTCAGAGAAATGCAAATCAAAACCACCCTAAGATACCATCTCACTCCAGTTAGATTGGCAGCCATTATGAAGTCAAACAAGAACAAGTGCTGGCTAGGATGTGGGGAAAAGGGTACACTTGTACATTGCTGGTGGGACTGCAAATTGGTGCAGCCAATTTGGAAAGCAGTATGGAGATTTCTTGGAAAGCTGGGAATGGAACCACCATTTGACCCAGCTATTCCCCTTCTCGGTCTATTCCCTAAAGACCTAAAAAGAGCATGCTACAGGGACACTGCTACATCGATGTACATAGCAGCACAATTCACAATAGCAAGACTGTGGAACCAACCTAGATGCCCTTCAATAGATGAATGGATAAAAAAAATGTGGCATTTATACACAATGGAGTATTACTCTGCATTAAAAAATGACAAAATCATAGAATTTACAGGGAAATGGATGGCATTAGAGCAGATTATGCTAAGTGAAGCTAGCCAATCCTTAAAAAACAAATGCCAAATGTCTTCTTTGATATAAGGAGAGTAACTAAGAACAGAGTAGGGTCGAAGAGCATGAGAAGAAGATTAACATTAAACAGGGATGAGAGGTGGGAGGGAAAGGGAGAGAGAAGGGAAATTGCATGGAAATGGAAGGAGACCCTCAGAGTTATACAAAAGTACATATAAGAGGAAGTGAGGGGAAAGGGAAAAATAATACAAGGGGGACAAATGAATGTCAGTAGAGGGGGCAGAGAGAGAAGAGGGGAGGGGAGGGGAGGGGAGGGGGGATAGTAGAGGATAGGAAAGGCAGCAGAACACAACAGACACTAGTATGGCAATATGTAAATCAATGGATGTGTAACTGATGTGATTCTGCAATCTGTATATGAGGTAAAAATGGGAGCTCATAACCCACTTGAATCAAAGTGTGAAATATGATATATCAAGAACTATGTAATGTTTTGAACAGCCAACAATAAAAAATTAAAAAAAAAGAAGATATCCCTGA